CGTCTAGCAAAATCGGATCCTATGGTTCAGTGCATATTTGAGGAGTCTGGCGAACATATTATTGCGGGCGCTGGTGAACTTCACTTAGAAATTTGCTTAAAGGATTTAGAAGAAGACCACGCTTGCATCCCCATCAAGAAATCTGACCCAGTGGTTTCGTACCGTGAAACCGTCACCGAAGAGTCAGAGCAGTTGTGCCTTTCAAAGTCGCCCAACAAACACAACCGACTATTTGCGAAGGCTGTGCCAATGCCAGATGGTCTGGCGGACGATATCGACAAGGGTGAAATTAATGCTCGTGATGAAATGAAGGTACTTCAGTTTTGCTTGAAGTGTTTGGTAAAAAATCAAATTTAATCAAAGGCTGCCAGCCGTGTGAGGATTTAATCTCCGCCAGCAGGTAATCGATCACCCCTATGACTTACCCATTTCAGTGATAAAATGGTACTAGCACGCGTGGGGCGTTAAAATCACCGTCGGTTTTTGGAGGGAGAAGCTTTGTTGAGGTATGGCCGCTCATGGCTGTGTGTTTTTTTGGAGTGCTTTCAAGGGAATTCGCCTTTTATTGATCGGCTTTATTTAAAACATCTGTATTTTTTGGCACATCTACATTCAGTGTGTTAGAACACCCCTAGTAGCATAGTTATTATGCAACAGCGACCACATTGATGTCCGGGCGATCTTGTATTTTTCAGCACTTGCGAGGAATGGCATGAATTTAAGCTGTCATATTCTTATCTTAATTTCTGCACATCCTTTTATAATCTTCTATTTTTGTTTTTTTATTTTCCCAAGTACCGTAAAGCAGTACTAAAAGTTAGAGGTACAATGATATACTAATTAGAATTTTACTTTTTCAGGCACGTGCCAAAATTTTGGCGGAAAAATATGACTATGATGTAACGGAGGCGAGGAAAATATGGTGTTTTGGTCCAGACGGAACGGGAGCTAATATTTTAGTAGATGTTACAAAAGGAGTGCAATATTTGAACGAAATCAAGGATTCGGTTGTTGCTGGCTTCCAGTGGGCCACGAAAGAGGGTGTTCTATGCGATGAAAATATGCGCGGTAAGACTTTCCTCCTTCCTTGCGTTATCTGTTTCCTCGAGAGAGAGTCATATAAGCAGCTGAGAGAGAGGGAGCAAGCTGGATTTCGAAGTAATCGAAGTATACAGGTCATTTTTCCTCCTCTATCAATTCCCACTGTATTGGTTGATTTCGTTGCAGGTGTTCGTTTTAACATCCATGATGTGACGTTACACGCCGACGCAATTCACCGTGGTGGTGGCCAGATCATTCCGACCACTCGTCGTGTCCTCTACGCTTGCGTCTTGACTGCTCAACCACGTCTGCAGGAACCTGTTTATCTCGTTGAGATCCAGTGCCCTGAAAACGCTGTAGGAGGTTAGTTATTTTGAATGGATTTGAAGCTTGCTCCAAATGCTTTTTTTTATTTGCCGGCATCCTCAAGTATCTTATAATTTTTAAATTTTCCGTGCTTGTTTTTGTGGGAAGTTGCTTGCTGGCCTCAGTGTCATGAGAGGACATGTGTTTTTGCTGCTGACTCGATAGTACTCGCACTTTTACGAAGTCATCAACATACCGGCAATGCTTGATGCTTGAAAAATTCTTGGAGGAAAAAAGGGACGGCAGGAGGAGGAGGGGGTGAGGGAAGAAAGTTCTCTTCTTGCAAGCGCAGTATGCCACCGCAAAGAAAAATTAGGAAGTCAGGTTCACGGCCATACCGCAGGGATGAATATCGTCGGTTGATTTTGAACGCTTGCTAAATGATCGATGCTCTGGTTAAACTGTGCAGATTTTTGCGCCGCATCAATCTTAGGGCTCCGATAAACTTCATCAACCATTTCTGAGTTATATGGAATTCACTGAAACGTTTAGGTATCTATGGTGTATTGAATCGACGTAGAGGCCACGTAATCGAGGAGTCGCAAGTGGCTGGTACGCCGATGTTTGTTGTTAAGGCTTATTTGCCGGTCAATGAATCTTTCGGTTTGTTTTTCTCACATTTTTCTGACCAAGTTCTATTTATATTGTCGGGGTTCTTGTTGTGTATAGTACGAATTTTCAGGCTTTACGGCGGATCTTCGCTCAAACACGGGTGGTCAAGCGTTCCCGCAGTGCGTCTTTGATCACTGGCAAGTGCTGCAGGGAAATCCGTTGGAGCCGAATACGAAGCCAGCTCAAATTGTTACTGAAATTCGTAAGCGTAAGGGCCTGAAGGAGCAGATCCCTGGATTGGATAATTTCTTGGATAAAATGTAGTGCGCTTCATCTCTGTTATTTGTTTTTTTAAAATGCATTGGTTGCGCTCGTTGGCTTGCTCAGCAGAACAGTGGTTTGCGAGTCGCCGCCGATTCGCTTCTTTTTTCTTTCCAGGGGTTTCCTTTTCTAATACTTTTGCGAGCAATGTGCACAGTGCCGCCGCCGTCGTAAATTAGCATTGTGGTTTTTGTTACGATTGTTGATGAT